TTTAGAAATAATATGCTCAATAGAAGGCTTGTGGGCCAAAAGATGAATTTCATCATAGGCCTCATTCTTGATAGCTTTGTAGCCTAGTAATTTCGCTTTCTCGGAGAGGTGCTCAATATGTGGTTCATTAGCTAATGAATTTATCTTTTCATAATCATCTATAAGCATTAACGTATGGCCTTGAAGTGTAGCTTTGCTCTTTAAATGATCAATGGGTGGGTTATGGGACAATTTATTTAACTCTTCAAAATCTTCATTTGCAATAACTGTATGGGATGACGCCTGTGCCTTCGAATTAAGATATTCAATATCTGGATCATATGCCAATTTCAATATGTTTTGATGTTCATTATGATCCACGATATCAAAACCTAATTTTGAGGCTTGGTTTTCAAGAAATTCAAAAGTAGGGTTATTTGAGGTTGAATAGAGCGATTTATAGAGCTTTTCCTCAACGAGTTCACGATGCTGTTCCTTTGCTTTTTGCTTCAAATACTCTAATGATGGAGTATTCATCGTCTTTATCAAAATGTTGTATTGCTCTTTTTCAACGAGGACGTTACCAAATACCTCAGCTTTATGTCTTAAATGATTTATAGGCGGTTCATTAGCTAATTTGAAAAGGTCGGCATATTCTTCTTTAGTAAGTGTAATCAATCCATGTCCCTCAACCTTTGATTTTACATGACTCAAACTAGGATTGTTAGCCAATTTATTTAACGTCAGATATTCAGATTTTTTTATAACTTTATAGTCCTTTTCTATTACGTTATTAATATGATCTATTGATGGAGACTGAGCCAATTTCAATATTCTATTATGTTCTTCTTCCAAAATTAGTTTGTAATTTAAGTCCGCAGACTTCGTAGTTAAGTGGTCAATTGTTGGATTATGTGCTAGAATATTTAATTCAGCATAATCCTTATCAGAACATAATACAAATCCATGTTTATTGGCCGTTAAACTTAAATTTTCGATCGACGGATTGATTAGACTAAAGTATTCATCATTACTCAAAACTTTCAACTCGTTTTCTTTAGCCTTTGACTTAATATGTTCAGTAGGTGGGTTTTGGGCCATGTTTACCAAATCATCATAAAATTTGGAAGGAGACACTATCAATCCTAATTCATTTGCTTTATTAGTAATATATGCCTTACTTGGCTTTTCTAATTCAAATGTTAACTTTTGATATTTCTCATATTCATCTTTCAGTATAACATGTAAGTTATAATCCTTGCATTTCGAGATCAAATAACTCTGTGAGGGACTATTATAACTAGCAAGCTTTTTATTCAACCTATTGAGGTCTTCTTTTTCGATTATCTCATACCCAGATTCAACTACTTTCGACGAAAGGTATTCCATGTCCGGCTTATTATAGGAATCCTTAGTATGTGTTAAGCTTTCATGTTCATCAACAGGCAAAGTAACTAATCCAATCGATTCCAACTTCTTTTTCATTTCATCTTCGCTTAAAAGTCTGGCATGCTCCTCTCTATTCATTATCATAAACCCCTTATCTTCAGCAATCTTAACAAAATCTTCAGAGGAAACAGAATGAGTTTTCCCACTCATAAGTTCTTCGTATTTATCATACAGTAACATGATTAAATTATTTTTATTAGCATAATCGTCCAATTGATCTCTTGTAAAGCTAGTATTCAACAATTCTTCGGATAAAATTTCTTTCTGTCCTTGAGATGTTGTTCCTTCTTCATCAGAGTCGGATGAATCAGTAAGGTACGGAGCATCATTATGGATTGATTTTATCCCAGCATCATTATTCTTGAAAGGCTCGTCGGCAGATTCAATAGTGGTATTACCATAATCTGTTGTATTAGAATTCAAGATACGGGCAGGTGACTTACCTGCAGTAATATTATCATCAAGAAAATCCTCCCATTTACCTCCATCATTAGCATATTGGCTATCGTTCGAGACATTATCTAATATAATTAATTTGGAGTTCCTCTTCGAAGGAGACAATGCAATAGAATTACGTTTAGAATCATTATGCTCATTTTTGATACCTCTTCTCTTATTAGCTCTCAGTTTAATTGGGGTTGTTATCTCATTGTCATCTTTGTCGAATCTATATCTTAGTAATACCGTCCTCAATTTGGCTATAGTTCTGTTCGAATGGTTTAATGTGGCTCTTAAAGTTTCTAATTCCAATGCGGGATTGCTAGGGTCAGACGCTGGTAATACCTCAGGTTGTGATTCCTTTAATAAGCTGTTAATATCAAAAGAATCCATCTCCGAAACCAAACGCTCATTATGGCCAACCACATCTATAAGTTCCGCATGATCCATCTTCTCCGTCTGGCTTATAGTCGACTTATCTAACCCAGAGAACTTTATATGCAACTGATCATTCTCGTCATTCAACTCGTTAATCCTATCTGATAATTCCAGAACTTCATTTTTGTATGCGGTTTTCAACTTCTCATAATCTTTGGATAGGGATGTATTTTTCAATTGTAAATCATCATTCTGATTTTGAATTTGGTTCAATTTTGCTAGCTGTTCTTGGTTCAGCTTCAATAGCTTTTCTTTAGTTGCATTCAAACTTGCGATTTTATCGTTTAAACTCAATAAATTCGATTCTAATTCCCAATTTTTATCCTTCAAATCACTTTCATTGTTAATCTGAAAATCCCGGGAGTTCTGCAACGATGAATTTTGGTCTTTGTAAGTTTGAATTTCCAACATTGTGGATTTTAATTTAGCCCTATATTTTTGGTTTTCAGCCGTCAATCTACGGCATTCACCAAGTAAGTTCTCACTAAGTCCTACAACAAAATTCATATCATTACCCTTTGTTTCAGGTCCCAATGCCGGTGTTGGATGAGGAATTGATGAATTGGACGGTACCGGAGGTCTCAAACTCTTATTAGAAGCTTGGTGAGTGAGATTTGACTGGTCGCTAAGCAATGGTATATTTGGAGGTTGCTTTTCATTGGTTCTATTCGCTTTATTTTGGCTAGTTTTGCTAAACAATCTTTTTTGAATATCTGAAAACTGTCCCCGAAGGTCCTCCTTTGAAGAAGACGGTTGTTGTTTCAGAGACATTTTGTTTTGTCAATTATGGGTATTATTATTTAAACGTAGTTTATAAGGAATATTCTATATAGCAATAGCCTATGTGTTTGATCTGTATTTTAGCCCATCAAGAAATGTAAACAAGAAGTGCGCGGTTCAAAATAAAATTTATTAAGATATACAATTCTAATTAGTTATCAGCGTTCTTCTGGGCAGCAGCTTGAGCCCTCTTAATCATGGTCTTTTGGAATAGTTTGAGAACGAATGGAAGTAAAAACGTAAAAAGAGCTATCCAAGCAAAGATAATACCAAAGTTTCTTCCTAAATGACCCTTATATGTATCGAATAAAACAACTTTCGTAGCCTCATAGGAATTATGAATAGGTAATGCATACCCATATCTGAAAAATTGAGGACATAACTCCATTGGTGCAAAAGTAGGAGCGATATTTATAACAACCCAGAATAACATCCAAAATCCTATCATCGGCGGATATATCATAATAATAATATGTGCCGCTATTTCGTTCACCAAACCTACTGCCCACATGGTGATGAATGTAATCATCCAGTACACCAAAAATCCAGAATGTCCAAAGGCCTTGGTAAAATCAACCTGAAATGCTAAAGTAACCAACGAGAAGAATAAACTTATAACAAAGAACGAAAGAATAGAAGAAAGTATTCTGTAAATAACATAATGAATAGGCTTGATTTTTAATTCAGCAACACTCTTATGCACATCCATGAAAAAGTTAACCTGGAAAAAAGTCATAATGATCATGTAAATCAACCCAACTTGAGATGGTGCTGTTAAAACAGGGTTTGTGTAGGGTATTTTATCGATGTAGGTGAAAGTCATTGGTGTGGACAAGAGTTCAAGTGAGTTGGAATCGCTCAACACATCAGCTTTTTTCGAAGAAGATAAGTTACTGGTTATCGACAAACTCACATTGGCCAGTTTCTGCAACCACATCAGTTCGATAATTCTGATACTTGGTGTAACATACAGATTCATACTAAGAAAGTCCCTTCCTGTCTCATAATATGATATAATGGTATTATTGGTGACATTATAAGATGAATCTCCGTCAGAAATTGCTTTGTATAAATTATATGATGCTTCAGGCTTCACATATATCGATGACCAATACTTTTGGTGGTGAATAAGTCTTTGTATCTCCGCCTCAACATCATTGTTATGTTTATCTGCTTGTTCCTGGATCTCTGATTGATTGAAAATGTGCCATTTTCCATAATATTTGGCTTTATTAGTGTCTAATATCTGTCTAATTGTATTTCCAATGACGGGTTCGATACCATCCACAGTATGATCGTCTTCAATCACTACTAACATACCCAAATTCTTGAGTCTGGAGTTTCTTTGGTAATATGACCCCCAATATATCGAAAAAATCCCCAAGATGGACGTACTCATCAAAAGGTATATGAATAAATATTTTAAAGCGATACCCTTTCTTTGCTTACTCAAATTCTCATTGAAGAACGAATATCTCGATTGCACTCTCTCCAAAATCGACAGACGTCTACTGCGTCTGCTATCAGTATTACTATGGATACTGCGACCATCTTGACCTGTGAAAGCACGTATATCTCCTTCAGAATCCGAATAAAATTCGTCCTCCCCATTTTTATTCTTCTCTTGCGCTGCGTACGGCTGTGGTGGGGTGTGATACCCTTCTAAATCTTCTTCTCTGCTTAGCATATTCTTTGAATGCTGTTCGCCCTGAGGAGTATCTTCCATATTCTTAGATAATGAGCTATTAGTAGCACTTTCCATTGTCGAATATTATAGTTTATTCAAATTTGCTGTAGTAATAGGGCGATCCATCAGGTATATATATAGTGGAATAAAGATATGGAAATGTTATCCTAAAGCGGAAATGGTGTTTATTTCCGTTCCGCATTTATTTCCGCATTTCTAATCATTAGCGACAGAGAAAACAGAAATACATATTCTTTTGCTTACTATTATCGTATTGTGATTAACATTCGAATTCATGCCATTGTGACTAATGTTCTCTAAGGCCTACCGGCGCTAAATCCGATAGGTTTATAACGACTTGTAAAAATTCAACGAAAGCGAATTACTAAATACTATGAATAATAGTGATATGCCAACTTAAAATCTCTCAATTTTCAGTATACTAATAAAATGTCACAGTTTCAAGATGTAAAGAACGAATCGTATTTAGTAGCTCTTGGAATGGTTTTGTAAAGAGATATGATTTATTTAAGCTTACAGATTGAACGCGTGAGGCACAGTGAGAGCGCTTAAGCCATTTTGACAGAATTGAATTGAAAATCAGTATGTCCATATTTATATTTTATCCCGCTATTATATTAGCAGAATAAGATGGCTAGTGGACCAGATATGTATGCTACAGGTTCGTCTAGAAATACTGACTATTCCCATATATCCAGAAGACGTCAGGATACTGATAATGACCAAAACGATCTAAATGATAGCGAGTTGGAAGACATAATTAACAAGACATCCAGCTTGAAATTGAATCAAAAAGAGACCAATTCTAGGGACTTATCGAGTATATTTATAAATTTAATCAATCCACTTATATTGACAGCTCTTTCGGCATTCGTTCGATTGTATAAGATTGAGGCAGCGAACACGGTGGTCTGGGATGAAGCCCATTTTGGGAAGTTTGGATCGTACTATTTAAAAAGGGAGTTTTATTTTGATGTGCATCCGCCGTTAGGCAAATTATTAGTGGGGCTTTCGGGATACTTAGCAGATTACAATGGTGAGTTCGATTTCGAAAGTAGTGATCCATTCCCAGATAATTGTAATTATGTATTGATGAGATGCTTCAATTGCGCATTTGGTATATTATGTACTCCTATTGCGTATAAGACGGCAGTGGCATTAGGTTATAGTCAATTGACTGTGTGGTTTATTTCATTACTGGTTATTTTTGAAATGATATCTTTGACGTTATCCAAATTCATCTTGTTAGATTCCATGCTCTTATTCTTTACTGTCTTATGTTTCTATTGTCTAGTTAACATACACAATTTAAGAATTAGAAATGAACTATTGACAAGTAAAGGATTGAGATGGTTATTGTTCACTGGTATATCTATTGGATGCGTTTGTTCTGTGAAATGGGTTGGTTTGTTTGTTACAGTATTAATTGGGTTATATGTTATTTACGATTTATTGATCAGAACTTACCAATTGACAAGCAAAAGGTTCCCAATTTCTCTCAAGAGTTACTTAACTCATTGGCTTTCAAGAATTATAACATTGATCCTCGTACCCTTTGTTATTTACTTAGCTTGTTTCAAGGTTCATTTTGCTGTCTTAAAAAAGTCGGGAACTGGAGACGGGTCAATTTCTACATTATTTCAGGGTTCCCTAGAGGGTAATGCTATTCAGAATGGGCCAAGGTCAGTTGCATATGGATCTTTGATCACATTAAGATCGCAGGGGTTATCGCCAAATTTACTCCATTCACATCCTCATGTATATCCTGAAGGATCTCATCAACAACAAATTACTACTTATGGGTATAAGGATGATAATAACGAATTTCTTGTAGAATTTGACTTGGAATCTGGTTTAAGAGGTGAATTTGCAACTTTTGAACCTGAAAACAACGAATCATATCCTCTTGATAAGTTAGTTCACGATGGTGATGTCATTAGATTAGTCCACAAAAACTCCGGATGCTTATTACATTCTCACCCAATTATGTCCTCTATACTGTCGTCGCACTATGAAGTTTCATGCTATGCAAGCTTAGATGACAGTGACGTTAAAGATGAATGGGTGGTTGAACTTCAATCGCAAGAATTGTCACCTTCTAAAGATTTTCAGAATGAAGATCCAAAGGAATTGCACCCTATTTCGACTAATTTTAGATTAAGACATAAAGTTATGGGTTGTTATTTGGCGACTACTGGTTTCTCATATCCACCTTGGGGTTTTCAACAAGGAGAAGTAGTTTGTAAGACATCTCTTTTCCAGACGGAGAAGAGCACCTGGTGGAATGTTGAGGATCATATTAATGGCAAATTGCCTGCTCCAGAAAAGCTCTACGTACCTCCACCCCCTAAATTTTGGAAAGAATTCATCTTGTTGAATTATGGTATGATGGCCTCAAATAACGCATTAATTCCAGACCCTGACAAATTTGACAGATTATCTTCCGAATGGTGGGAGTGGCCAATATTAAATTCTGGGTTGAGAATGTGTGGTTGGACTTCAAATGAAGTCAAGTACTTCTTAATTGGACATCCTTTTATCACATGGTTTAGCACTTTGAATTTAATCTTATTTGTTGGATACATAATTGTTCAATTATGGAGATGGCAAAGACAGAAACTTTACTTTCCCAAGGGGGTTTTTGATATGCAATGGGAAAATTTGATTGTTCAAGGGGTTACTCCGTTTGTTGGATGGGTTTTACACTATGTTCCATTCATTTTAATGGGAAGAGTCACCTATTTGCATCATTACGTACCAGCCTTATATTTTGCTATTTTTATAAGTGGATTCATGATGGAATCGATTATTCACCGTCATGCCAATAGGTACGTCTCTTATCTTTTATATGGTATTAGTTATCTTCTTATTCTTGGGGTTTTTTGGTATTTGAAAGATTTGGCTTTAGGAATGGAAGGATCGTCGTCAAAATTCAGGCATCTTAAGCTTTTGTCTAGTTGGATGGTTTGATTTATATATAGACTTAAATAGTATTGTTCAAAACATTATTTATTCAAAACATTATTCATTGCATATCTATAGGGTTTGTCAATTTTTTCAATTTTCGCAACAATTTAAAATAAAAAATTAAATATCGAGCCTTACATATAGTAGTCTTTCATTTGCATCATTATACAGATGCCAATCAAAATAATTCCAAAAAATTAAGCGAATAAAGAGAATTCAGTAAAAGGGAGTATTCAATACTTAAGAAAGAAAAATATTAGCCTAATGATAAGAAAAAGTCCTACTTGTATGTCACTATATAGATGTATGTCACTATATAGACATATATAAAAACAATTCTAACAACTGAATAGC